TCCTATGGTCACTCACGCTTGTGGCTTTTGAAATGTGGTTTGGCAGTCATGTGAACAAGAAGGCCATGGAGCAATATGTGAGCTTTTCCGAGCAACGCGAAGCGCTGATGCGACGCAAGACGGATCAGGTGTGTGTCTAGGGGTTGGTATTAAAGTGCGACGTGTTTTGAGCAGCCTTGCTGTTCTGTGTCTGTTTCGAAGGTGTGAACCATCACTAACAATTTGACTTGGGCTTTAGGACGATGGAGACAAGGCCATTGAGCGACTGTTGATGGTGTTGGATAACAAGAAGGACGAGGCCATTGAGCGAACCTTCAAGATGGTATGACCGTGGTGTGATGTACTTGTCAATGTGGCCTGCCTTGCGCCTTTTGCCATGTCTGATAAAGGACGTGAATCTTTCAGGTTTGCAAGTTTTTCAGTGATGTATTCAAGGAGCTGGTCCCCCACGGACATGGCGAGCTGGTGATGCAGCGGTCCAAGGGAGGCGACGCGTCGCAGGATGGTGACGAGGTGCGTCGATTACTAACACTGTCTTGGTGATGGCCCGAATATTGAAACTGATCCTACTTTTGTACATGTGTGTGTGTGCGTGCGTGCGTGTGTAGTCGCAGGAGACTGATGCGTCAACGCGCAAGCGCGGCAAGCGCCCCCGCATCAACGAGTTTATTGGCGTGGCCATTCGCGTCAACTTTACGGGTCGTGGTAAGAATTGGTTATGATAAAGGGTGCTTTACACTGCCAATGGCAGCATCCCTGCTGCACCACATCTGTGGATGTCATGGACGGCTGAAGAGTGGGCACGCGGTGCAGTGCCACACTCATTGATTGTTGGGCGCAAATGGTGGTGTAGGCGAGGACACGCACTTTTTGCAGTCGTTGTCGGGTGGCCAAAAGTCGTTGGTGGCGCTGGCGCTCATTTTCTCGATCCAAAAGTGCGATCCTGCCGCCTTTTATCTCTTTGATGAGATTGACCAGGCGCTGGACCCAGCGCACCGGGCCGCGGTGGCGCGCATGATTTACAAGGCCTCTCGGGAAGCCCAATACATCACAACTACCTTTCGGTGGGTGCGCTCGAGTTGTCGGCACAAAAAAACGTGTCTAGTCTCGTAAGGAATGACGGCTTGGATCGCCTTTTCACGGAGAGCCACGACGGCTTGTGACTTTTGCCCGTGTTCTTTTAGACCGGAACTGCTTGTCAACTGTGACAAGTGCTATGGCGTCTCGTTTGCAGACAAGGTAAGCTTCGTTATTGCGAGGGCCGGCGTGCCGGCGAAGGTTTTGAAGCTGACGTCAACATTGCTCGCGCGTAGGTGTCACGAATTGATGTCGTCTCCAAAGAAAAGGCACTTGAGTTTATCTCCCATGAAGCGCGCGTGGCCTAGTGTGCGCGACGAGCCGCGAACCGCACCAGTTTCGCGCTGGTGTGTTGTAACCGTGCATGTCACTCTCTTTTTTTTTTCCTTTTTTTTTTTTTTTCTTTATTCTTCTGGCAATTGCGCAACAGAGAACGGATGATGTAATTGATGCGCGAAAGAGAAACAACACCCGCACTTTTGACCGTTTTGCTTGTTCTTGCCTTGATTTGAACACATGCACGTCATTGAGGTGTGGTAAGTCATGCACATACGTATGGTGTCATTGGCTTGTTTCCACCTTACAGGTGGGCATGAGCGTATAAGAACCCGGTTCTCAACGTGTGAGCAAATCGTTGCAGCTCCTCGGTGAAATGGGACATGCATTTCCAGCAACTTTTCTCCAACACGCTGGTTGCTTGCTCCTCCCCCTCGAACGCACCTTCCACTCGCACGTACTCATTCCTTCTCTCCCTCTTCCTCTCTCTCCCTCCTTTCATTCGACTTTGGCCTTTGCTTGCCTCTTCACTCTTGATTTCCTCTTTTCGTCGCCCGTGCCCGTGCCCGTGCCCGTGCCCGTGCCCGTGCCACGAAAAAAAGGTCCTATCGGCGTGCCATCGACTGCCCACGATCAAAGCAACATGCCACCTCCCACTGCGGCCCCTTTGGGGTTGCAGCCCGTGTTTTGGGCCTTTTTGATCGGCCACATTGTCGCCTCGGTGGGCATGGCCACCGCCCTTCGATACATTGAGGAGGTGGATGAGGATGATGAGTTTGGCATTGGAACAATTCATGCCCTCTTCCTGGCAGGTCAGGCTTCGGTGGCCCTTGCTTTGGGTCTTGGACTGCTGTGCGGGCTGGGTGCACGTAGCAACAGCACCGCCCCAGCTTCCAACCCAAGCACAAGCCTCCCCGCGCTGGCACCGCTTGATGCGATAACCAACTCGGCGTTCAACACATTACCACCACCACCACCAGCAGCTGATCTCACGTCTCTTTTGGAAGCACCGTTGCCACCGGAAACCCACATTGCCATCATGTACCTGGACCACGGCGTCGCCATGCCGCTGGAGCCCGAGACCCTTGTGAACACAAAACCCATGCTTGAGAGCCCACTTCCGCTGGCCGTTGCCATCACAACTTTGACCCATTCCCCACCCGAGCCAAGCTCCACTTCCAATCAGGGCTCGGCCTTGTGGCACAAGTTGTTTGTCGTCGGTGCCGCCGCCGGCATGTGCCAGAACCTTGGCCAACAGGGCTACTTGTTAATGTCCATGAGCGGCGGTGCCGTCTCCCTGCTGGGGCCGCTCAGCAGCATGTACAAGGTGATTCCCATGCTCTTTGCCATTCTGGTACTGCGTCATTACCCCAATCGCCAACAAGTGCTGGGCATGTTGCTTTCCGTGGCGGCTATTGCCTTCTTTGCCCTGGCTGACACGGGTGAATTTGATCTTCAAAACCCCGTGGACATTGGCTACTTTTTCCTCTGTGTCATGGGTTGGGGCTGTGGCAGCAGCCTTCTCCAGTGGTTCTGCAATCTGCCCCTGCGCTTGCAACTCCTCCAATTTACCGTCATCGTGGCCGGTTTTGTGGCGACTGGCGCCATTGCCGTGGCCACTGTCTACCGTGATCTGGACCTGAGCCGCTGGTCCACCGTCCACACCCTGTCCCTTTTGGCAGGTGTTGGTGGCGCCAGTGCCAACTTGTCTTACGTATTTATGGCCCGAGCCGCGCGCTCCTACTCGGCCATCGTAGCCCCCATGGCCAGTCTCTCCATCGTACTCACCATCTGCGTGGGTGCCCTTTGCCTCCATGAGCACATTGCCCTCCTTCAAGCCATCGGCATGGCCGCCATGCTTCTTGGAGTTGTTCTCATGGGGCTGCCCAATCGTGCCCTCCATCTGCTCCGCCAATTGTGGACTGGAGTTGGTCCAAAACAACCTCCCGTGGCTCCCCCCACGGCTGCTGCCGTGCCAGAAGTTATCGTTGTGCCTCTGACTGAACTGCCACTCTCCCCTGCGCCAGTTCACTAGCATCCAGCGCACCTGACAGGCGTGCAACTCTGTTGTCGCTTTGTCAATGACCGCAAAAGATGTCCGAACCAAGCCCCGCCGCCGTGCGTCCAGGCGAACGCTTGGTGTTTCTTGCGTTTGATCTAGGTCGGCAGAAAACCCATAACCTGCGCCATCTCTTTCTTCGAGCCGGCACGAGTAGCCGTGACGTTGTCGTGTTAATAATGTTGACGAGCAAGAAATTGACTGCTTGATTTTCGCCGGTCTTGGTTTCCTCATCTATAAATCTCCTCGCACCCAACAACTCGACAACGTCCTTCAAAGTGTACAAACCGCCGTTTCCGCTCCAAGACCAACGCGCAAGATCAAGGCTGGCCAAGATAATATGATTCACATGTCCATCATCAATTACATGTTGTTATCATCAAGAGTATATCGGATGTTTCATCAATCATTAGTAACAGAGGTGATCAGAGAGGAATAAAAGGTGAGGCGGGTCGCAAGAAGCAGGGGTCAAGTACTGGACCACCCCGTGTTGTGAAACCAGTATAGCTCGCCGGGGTTGCTGCCGGAAGCAATGACGTCGGGGCGCTGGTCGAGGTCGAGATCGCTGACTCGGCAGTTTCGTGCGTCAAGTAGGGTGGTGGTGAGGGGGCGCATGGTGTTGAAATTGCCGGCGCCGTCGTTGACGTACCATGCCACTGTCTCGGCATTGGGGAGGGTGCTCAGCACGTCCAGATCACCATCGCTGTCGAGGTCGGCCACAACCAAGGACGTGAGCTGCGGGGCCGCGCCGGCATGGGCAATGGGACGCGGGGCGGGGTCGATAGATCCATGGCCAAGATTGCGAAACCATTGAATCGCGTTGACAAAACCGCTAGCACTGAGCACATCCACCCACCCATCACCGTCCAGGTCCCCAATCGCCACAAGAGTGGGCGCTGAGGCGTTGGTGGTGAGGCTCACGGCTTGGGCAAAACTGCCATTTCCATCCAGATTGCGGGACCAGCGGAGGCCGTTGATCTGGAAGTTGCCGCTCACAATGTCAATGTGGCCATCGGCGTCGAGATCAACGAGGGCCAGGGACGAGACGGATAAGGCTCCAGAATCGATGGAATAATCATCCTCAGCAAAACTGACTCCATTGGAATTTCGTCGCCACCCAATGATAGAATGCACGGCAGAGGCATAGACCAGATCCAGGAGCCCATCGTTGTTAAGGTCGGTAGCAGCAGCCTCGGTGATGCCTGTGGAATCGGAGACGGGGACTCGGGAGCCAAAGGAGCCCAGACCAAGGTTGACGTACAACAAGACGTTGCCCACAGAATCGACGGTAAACACGTCCAGATTCGTATCCAAGTTGACATCGGCAATGACCAACTTGACGACGGTCCCCGGGGTGCTGATGTCAATGTATTGAGGCTCGGCAAAGGTGAGATTGTGCAGGTTGCGTTGCCAGAAGATGGTGGAGGTGGCATCGGCCGTGATGATGTCTGGGTAGTTGTCCCCGTCCAGATCAGCCACCTCAAAGGTCTTGGGCGGGCCAATGCTGCCCAGGTTCAGCACATGGGCTGTCGGCATGGACCACGGGGCAGCAGGGGTGGCGCTGGTTCTGTTGAGGTAAGCCAGCTGACTCTCAAGGCGCGCCAGCTTGGCCAGCAGATCCACCCCGTTGAAGTAGACCTTTGCGCCCGCCACGGGCGTTTGAATGTGCAGAGTGCCATTCTCGTCTGCGACCAAGCCGGGCCACGGCGAAACGGCCCAACACACGTGAACCCAGAGCACAAGGAGCGACAGTCGCCGTCGAGCTAGCCAAACTTCCATGGTAAACCGGCAACCCCCCGCCCCCTCCGCACACACACATACACCGGCTGCTCGCCTTGCGACAACACACACACACACACACGGCCGAGTGAGACAGTGAGCGAGCGGTCAAAGTGAGAGAGAGAGAGAGAAAGACGGAGAGAGGGCGAGACGGAGTGAGCGAGGGAGAGTGAAGGTGAGAGACGGAGTGAGAGAGGGAGAGAGAGAGAGAGGGAGAAAGTGAGAAAGAAAGACAGCGAGGCAGGAGGACAGCATGTGTGGCAAGAGTGGCGCAACGCAGAGAAAGACAGAGACAGAGACTGAGACAGAGACAGAGACTGAGACTGAGACAGAGACTGAGACAGAGACTGAGACTGAGACAGAGACAGAGACTGAGACAGACACAGACAGAGAGACAGAGACAGAGACAGAGAGACAGAGAGACAGAGACAGACAGAGAGAGTCGAGAGATCATAAAATGTCAGAAAAGTTGAACCAAAGTGATGTGGACACACCACATCGTTCTTACCAAGGTTTATGCTATTGAATATCTATTTTATGTAGCATTATCATGTATTCAAGGAAATACAATGGTATATTTGGAGTAGTTTATGTAGATGATTGAGTGGTTTTTGTAGTGCTTTCGTGAGCATCGCCAAATTCGATCGCGTCCGTGACCCCCTGAGCCCTCTCACTCCGCCCCCTCCTGCTGTGCCTCAATCCCCCTGTGCCTCACTCGTCGCCTGGATCTCACTCTTCGTCTGGATCTCACTCTTCACCTGGACTCGTCGCCTGGATCTCTTTCCCTCTCGCCTCCTGGCTCTCCTTCTCACGCTCCGCCTCACTCTCCGCCGTACGTCCTCTCTCCTCCCCTCTCCTCTCTCCTCTCTCCTCTCTCCTCTCCTCTCGCCTCCTCATTGCCTCTTGATCCAAAAGTCGAACCACTGTGGAGGATGGGCGCATTTTCTCTCACTTGATCGTTGCCACGACAGGGTTGGACGCACAGATCCTCTGCGCCCATCATCAGCATGAACGCAGCCATTCACACAATCGTGACAGGGGTTGCCCTCGTGGCTGCCCTCATCATCCAATTCGGTGGCATTCATCATATTGAGGAGGGCTACGTCGGCATCTACTACCGAGGTCTCTTACAACCTGCCTCCCATGACGACCTGCCTTCCATGACCTGCAGTCTTCTTTTTTTGACCCGCCTGGCACCTCTCTCACTCACTCTCTTCCCCTCTCCTTTCCTCTCTTTCCCTCTTCTCTCTCTTCTGCCCTCCATAGGTGGTGCCTTGCTCAATGCCGTATCCGAGCCTGGCTACCACGTCTTGATCCCCTTTTTAACTTCTGTCAAGCAGGTTCAGGTCAGCCCAATCTTCAAGCCCTCAGATCTTGTCGACCACGCTCCCTCCCCCTCTGATAATGCGCTTGACACACCCCCCCCCCCCCCCTCTCCCCCACCAAAAAAAAAAAAATCCCCACCAGATCACAATGCAAAAAGACGAGGTGCGCAACGTCCCCTGCGGTACCTCGGGAGGTGTCATGATCTACTTTGACCGCGTTGAAGTCGTCAACATTCTCGACAAAGAAGCCGGTACGCCCCTAAAGGCTTGTCGGCCCGGCACATACGCCGCCGCCGCGCTCACCAAGGCCCGCCTGATTCGTAGTGTTGGATACCGTCCGTCGATTCACCCCCTCCTACGATCAGCCCCTCATTTTTGACAAGGTCCACCACACCCTCAACCAGGTTGGTGCCCGATCAACGTCAAGGCCCGTTGCCCTGCCCCGCCTTTTGCCATGGCTTGACCTGACCCATCCACGATAGTTTTGCAGCGTCCACACGCTGCAAGAAGTGTACGTCAATCAGTTTGATCAGATTGATGAAAACCTCAAGCAAGATTTGGAAGCCGACCTCAACAAACTTGCGCCCGGCCTGCAAATTCTCGTACGTCAACAATTGGCCTGCATACGCGAGCCAAGCGACCCTCGGCTCAGTGCCAGCCATGCTCTTCCCACAGGCCGTCCGCGTGACAAAGCCCATCATCCCAGAAGCCATTCGCCAAAACTATGAAGCCATGGAAGCGGAGAAGACAATGCTGCTCATCGCGTACGCTCCAGCTCTGCCCCAGGCTCCCAAAGCACTCATCGGCCATCATGGGCCAATGGCCCACCCCCTCGCGTGCTGATCAACCATGGCCCTTGGCCATGCTCCCTCACTGTTGTGCCCGCCTTGCTGCTCGCCCATCGCTAGGGAACAACGTCAGCGTGTCGTGGAGAAGGAAGCCGAGACGGATCGCAAGCGCGCCGTCATTGAGGCTCAGAAAGCAGTCAGTTCAACCACCACCACCCAACACCACCCAACACCACCACCAACACCCTTCCATTCTATGACGTTTTCCTCCTCTCATCTTGGGCGCACCGGCTTGCACCCACCACCCCTGTAGGCGGAAGTCAAGACCATTGAGAACGAAGCCCGCATCGCTGAAAAAGAAGCAGAAAAGAAAATGTCGACCCTCGAAGGTTTGCCACCTGCTCTTTTTCCCGGAATGCAGCCCCGTCACCAGCATTGCCACTAACAAGCTCCATTCCCCCAATCTGTCACTATCGCGCTTGAGCGTGCCTTCAGATCAGATCCGCTTGGCGCGCGCCAAGGGCGCTGTGGACGCAGAATACTACCAATTGACCAAGCAGGCCGAGGCCGAGAAGGTGATGATTCATTTTCACGCTTGCCTACGCTCCAAGCCCTTTTACAGACTTGATCTCATTGCACCTCGCTTTTACTAGGCTCGCTTCACCCCCGAGTACCTGCAGGCTCTCATGTATACGGTAAAACCCCTGCCCCTTCCTTGTTGATGCGCCAAACATACTGCGCACGCGGTGCACCTCACAGCCTCACCCTGCCCTTTGTACATAGAGCGTGGCCAACAAGACCAAAATTTTCTTTGGTCCGGATATTCCTTCCATGTTCACTTGGCCTTCTACCACCCCCAACGAATAGACAAACCCCGCATCCTCCACCCGCAGGTCTTGTACATATGCTGTATGCCCAATAGATGTTTCAGATTACTTCAATTGACAAGAGCTGCTGTATTCGGCCCCAGTCAGACCTCAGTATACCCGCTCGCCCGATACAACTTTGTACAGCACGGCTGCCACAATCGGACAATCAGGCATTTACTAAAAAAACAAAACACAAGGCTCTTTTCCAAATAACGTCGTACAATCACGAGGGGAAGCTATTTCAGGCCATGGCCGAGCCTGCCGTGTTGGCACCTGTTTCCTCCTCGATCCGCTTGAGCAACTCCTCATACAGACTCATGTCTGCACAATTCTCTTGCCGACACAGGCCCAGCGTCTCCAGAGCGTACTTGCGAGCCTACAATTAATGCGACGCGGGAATGATTTGCAATCATTCCTGGATACCATCGACAATATGGCAAAAACCCGAGTCTCACCTTTTTGTAATCACCATCGAGCTGGGCAGCCATGCTTGCGGTGCTCAAGCAACGAGCCTCCTGGCGACAACAACGACAGTATAAGGAGACGGCCCGCGCCGATTCTGGACCGGACGACCAGGGATCACATCATCACAATACCCTTACGGTGCTATGGCTAATCGGCTGCAGGCCTTTAGCGGCCTCGTATGCCCGCACAGCCTGCTGCTCGCAGCGTTGCGCGACCTCGTGACGCTGAGGTGGAAGGCGGGAACGACATGAGGTCACACGCTAGACCAACTTAGCCTCTTGATCGTGCGCCACCAAATTGCGACGTACCGAGACGTCGTCCGCATACTCAGCACGCAGGAGCAAAAAGTTGGAGTATTCTTCCAGAGACATGCCGTACAGCGCTTGCAGCTAAATGCAATGACAAATGAGGAGTGATCCTTCATGCGACAAGGAGCCGCCAATTGGCCAAGTCAGGAGACAAAATATACACACCTCCTCACTTTCCTCAGCAAAGATGGAGGACGAGCTGTGAACGAGTTCTTCGGCGGTCTCAACACACCAGCGATACCCAGACTCGGCGGTCTCTGGCTCGCCTTGATGCATTTTACAGTCTGCTAGATGCAAAGACAACTATAACCCAGCGACGGGGCACAGGACAATGGAGTGAACACATTGCGTGCGTTGCGTGCTTGAAAAACTAAGCCCGAGTAGCAACTGGGAGGAGATGCTTTGCGCAAAGTCGAAAAGAAGCTGCATGGATAAGATAACGACGATAATACTAATACTAATAATACCTCAACCATGGCCTTGAGCCAACGCTTGTCCTTGGTCTCGTGGTAGTGGCTGTGCAGAAAGCGGATGCTTTCCTCATAGTGGCCCGAGGCTGCCGCGTAGTTTTTCATGCGGTAGTACAAGTCGCCCAGCTAGTAGCGGCGAACACCGACATCAGCAAAAGGCGAGAACCAAGGCCTGGGGGAAAAAGGCGAACACAAGCACGCGCACTGACTCGCATGTGCACAACGGTGCGCTGTGACTGATGGAGTGAGGACTCGTTGCGCAAAACGGCCTTGTAGCATTGCACAGCCTTGAGCATTGTAGCCAGATTGATGTGAGAGAAGCCAGATGGGGTGCGGGACGGGCGTGGCAAAGGTGCGCGACAGGAAGAGGGAGGGGGGACACACCTGCTCAAACTTGCTCTTTTCGATGAGTTTAGTGGCCATGACCAAGAGCTCCGCGTCCTCGAGGGTGACTAACGAGCCGAGCACGGACGAACAGCTGCGGTGAGGCCTGACGTTGGCGACTTGACTACTCGATGATCAACCCGATATGAAAGCCGGGCACGTACGCTCGCCGGCTTGTTCCTCGGCATGGTGAAAGAGTGAAAAGGCCAGGCACGGAAGGGCGGTACCAATGACCGGCTCACTCAACTGCTGGCGGGCGCGTGCAAACTGGGCCCGCATCATGGCTGACGTGCGCTGCGTGGCAGCTCGCAGTTCCAAGCGCCACAGAGGCAACGCACGACGAAGAGCGGCGGCGGCACCTCGCAAAGCCATGTTGATGGAGGCGTGGAAAATAATCTTATGATGGAGACGATGCGGAAGGACAGGGACGGCAGTCGAATACGTGCTGCAGTGTGTTGCAAAACGAGATTCAAACCGCAACCGGCGACGAAGACCAAGTGGTTATCTATTGTGCTGGAGCAGGACGAGTAAAATGAGTCACTGGAAAGCGAGGCGACAAGGCCTGCCGACACGAGTTTTGACCTAGTGGGAGGTCAAGCGTCCCCAAAAAGCCTGCGTCATGCGCCATCGCACCCAAGCACGCGCGAGCAACCAAACCGGTCTGCCGTGGGGCCGTGATGGCACCGCAATTCCGGCCACCTTGATCAGACACCCATCACCCCCTCCTCTTCCGCACCCCATCTTCACCCCACCCCGACCCCTACCCCTGGCTCTCCATCCCGCAACGCAACACGCCACAACCCGAAGCGCACACACACACACACACACACACACACAGACCACTTATCGTCATGCAAAATCCCACACACTCACTCACACACAGAATACGCGAAAGAGAATCACACACACACACACACACACACACACACACACACACACACACACACACACAATGAAGATGAGAAAGTGTGTGTGTGATGGTGATTGCGAGTGAAACGGTTTCCGTGTCAATTTTTTTTGTCTTGTTGTCTTTTGTGGCGAGTTTGATGGTGATGATGGGTGGGTATTGGGAGAAGTGGGAGGCAATTCGGGTTGAGCATCGGGGGTGAACAACACGGAGAGCTGTGCATCGTCATCGCCATCACCGCCATCACCATCAGAGACAAGACAGACACAACTCAGGCAATGACGGCCTCAGGGACCGTTGCATCCACTTCGGCCAAGCGATCCAGCACCTGTTGAACGAGCAAGACATCTGGTACCACAGAGCAGGACAAGGCCCAGAAATGTGACAAAAGACGCGGGCCGCGAGATCAAGAAGAAGACAGAGAATGCAAGCCGCACCGATGCGCGTTGCACAACAACACAACACGACTCACCCTCTTGTTTCTGAAGGCGCTTGCGCAGGACAGCGGGCTTGACAAAAGACAGCAGTGTTTGCCAAAGCAAGTCATCCCAGACCGCGAGCCATAGAACAGCATTGAAGACCGCCCCTGTCAACCAACACAACACAAAACGGTCGTTACCGCAGCTTGGGCCGGGCCACGTCAACGACTCGATAAACCGAGCCAAGATCTTGCAGAGGTAGAAAACCTCAACGCACCTGTCATGGTCGGTGCCGTGGTCCCGACCGGCAGCTCGCACAAGAGCTGCACCGCCTCCGTTCCCAGGCCCGCGCGATAAGAGGGCGAGTATCGGCAGCCAAGGCCCACGCCCGTGATACACGACACAATCAAAGCAGGATCCCCAGACCTAAACCAGTTGCCAGTACGACACTATGAGATCAGTTGTGCACGCAAGCGCCTGGCCGCTCTCCACACATGCACCTACCGCAACACCAACAACGTTTTTTCCGCAGCTATCGCAGCATCAATCGAGAACCACTATCCGAGACAAAGTACCGATGAATGCGACAACCGTTGCTCGATCAGCCCGCCAAGAACCATCCAAGATTGAAGAGATGCATGCAGCAAAACCCAACGTCGTACCGCATTGGTCGATGCGCGCGAAAAGGTGCTGAGAGGCAGCAGAATGTTGAACCAGGCAGCCACATGCTAAAGATCGGCACGTGATCGTAGGACATGACCGGCTGAGCATCAAAATAAACCGGACACAATCGTTGGACAAGCGAACGAATGGCCCCTGCTTATCCTCTCACCTCAATGTCAGCCTCGGTCATGTATTGGAGACAAGCTCCAAAGAGACCTTCCAGCGCCAGCACCTCCTGACATAGAGCCGTCTTGCAGTCCGAGCCCGAGCCCAAGCCACGATCGGCCTCCAATAGAACACAGGCTAACAGACAGAACAAACCGTGCGGCAGGGGTCGAGCCAGCACGGTCGTTGGTGCGCCCGAGGACCAATCCGCGTCCTTGGGCACAACCAAGCAGGCGTCCAGAGCCTTGAGGCAAAGCGTGGGTAGGCCAATGTATTCAGCATGACGAAGAACATCGCGCAAGCGCACACGACCCAGATCACCCGCCAAGCGCTTAAACATGGTCACCATCATGTCTGTGGCCGCCGCCAGTTTGTTGACGGCATCATCTGCGACATGCTTGCGCTGCACCAGCTGAGGGAGAGCGTCCAGCCAGGTGTGCAAACACCCACCCAGGAGGGCATCGTTGGACGTGGGCCCTTGTGCAGCGGTGTGCATGGCGCACTGTCTTTGAAACAGGGCCGCCGCCAACTTGTACGCCAGTTCACACGCCAGCTCGACAGCGCGGGGCGTAACATCCCTCGGGCGGGACATCCACGCCTGTAGTACGCGCGCACAGGTCCAGAGCCCAGAGTGTACGTCCCGCTCCGTCACGTCGCGTGGTTGGACCAGTAATGCATGGTTCATGCCCTTACGCAACTGCTCCAATGCGTCCTCAACCGGCTAAACACAAAGAAGCGCAAGTGATTGAAGAAAGAAAAACGTCTCGAGCGGACTGATTTGATATTGAGAACGTGTTTGCGCAAGAAAGCACGCTCGTCGAACCCACCTTGGCGTGATGGTCGCCCAAGGCAGCAAGAATGGTTGACACATGGCGTGCCATGGGCTTGGCATCACAGGGCATGGTTGTTTCGGCGGGCCGAAGCTTGGCCACCTTGGTGCGCAGCTTCTTAAGCTTCTGCCGATATTGCTTGATAGTTCTAGGTACCCAGGCGCAGAGTCATGACTTTGCATGAGCAGAACCGCTCACGAGCGTCGAGCAAGCTGCCAAACACGGAAACAGGCTTATTGGACGTGCGAGCCACCGACTCTTCGTTGCGCGTCGGAATGTTGAGGCTGCCGTCCACGTCAAAGATAGCTGCCAATCGTAAGGGCCCACTGTCGCTATCCGCCGACATGGGCCGCGAGGTGCGCCGCGTGCTGAGTCGCCGATGTTCGTGCTCGGCCACGCGCCGACGACGTTCCTCGTCCTTTTGCTGCAAGCGCGCAATGCGATCCGCGGCTTGCGTCTTGCGTCGCTGCCGGGCTGCCTGTAATCGCTGGCTCTCTTGATGAGCGCGTTCGCGGCGCTGGGCCTCGATCCGCTCACGCCGCTCCTGCAGCAGCCGTGCGTGTGAGTAAAGCGGATCAGGGAAAGGAGCACGGCAGGCTTTAAATGAATGGGGGGAAAGCCAGAAAGGGCGTTCTTGTAAAGTGCAATACTACCGGCAGGATTATTTCTTACATCAGCATGACGGGAACGCTCCTCGACTTCGAGCTTGCGCATTTCCGAGTCAAGTTTCTGGATAAAGGCAATCTCTCGCGACTTTTCATCTTCCATCTTTCCTTTTTGCCGCACCTGTCCGCAGACATCAAGGCATGAGACGCAACAGCCGCTGAACAGAAAGCACCGAGCATGACGAAGGTAGGAGGGATGGACCAACCTCATTCAGGTGGTGCTGGCGCAGCTCCTGAGCTTTGGCGTGTTTGAACTCTAACACGGCTTTCAAACGCTCCTCCGACTCCTCACGTCGCGAACGTGCCTGGTGGATTGCCACGAAACGTCCCACATCCAATAGAGCAAGACCGAGTGACCACTGGATGAGGCGAGACACCAGATAATTCCCAAACAACAATGCCGCCCATAGCGCGGCATTGTTGCGCGGCAGCTTGTTGGAACAGGACAGGAGTGGAACTGACATTGGAAAGACGATCATTTTGGAGGCGAATGCGTCGATCTTGTTCACGCTGCAATTTTTGCCGATTGCGCTCGGCGCGAATATGCTTTCGCTTGGCACGTTGAGCTGACTGCGCACCCACAGGCGCATGTACACGCATGTTCAAGCCGTTAGCGAGAAAGAAGAGACTGGATCTCCATTGAACATGGGAGTACGCACCTCTTCTAGCGTCAGTCGCCGAGCTGGAGAGCTGAGCTTTTTGTGCAAAACAACCGCATCGCCGGGGGCCCTTTCTACGATCCACTCATCTTGCTCTTCCGCCCAGTCTGCTCCTACTTTTTGAGGCATAAGTCAATAAGCTCTAGCTCAAGACATAAAAAAAAAACAGGACGTATGCGTGATCTCATCACGCACCCATTTGAAGCACGAGCCCGTCCTGGCTGGCGTTCAGAGAAGCAGGGGGCGACGGGCTTGGCGGCAAGAGTGGTGGCTCTTCGGGCGCTTCCGCGTCTATTGAACAGCCGGCCAACGCGTGTGTCTGAGATCTTAGCGCCTTAAAAGCCAGGAGTAGCCAGCGTTGCCTTGACCCGCACGCACTCACCTGCCACCGCTGTCAGAGGCATGTTTGACAGCATGGTAGAGTTGAGTGATGACATCAGTGATACGGGCGGTGTTCGTGATGACTGCGAGGATAATTGGGGGCATGCATTGCGGGTCATGAGAGGATCGTGCAAAAGGATGAAGCACCAGCTGCCGCAGCTGCGGTTGCCTGCGGTACCTTGCGAATGTCCCAGGCAACGGCTTTGGGTGGGTTGGGGGAAAGCGCCATGTTCTTTTCCACTTTGAACCGCTCAATCAACCCAGCAAAATCGCGCTGAAAAAAAAAAAAAAAAAAAAAAAAAAAACGGGCAGTTTGAGCGACGCATGTGCACAGGAGGATAAGCGCTGGGTTCTGTCAAGTCGGGAAGCACATTGCAAGGCGTCTTACGGTTGAAGACTCGAGAACCATCATGACTTCCTGACACTCTAGCACAGAGGTGTGATCTGCAACCTCCAACAAGAATTCGGAGCGTGCGATTCAAGAAGAATCAAAAAAGATGAAATCCAAAGATTCCAAAATAATATGAAATAATAAAGTCGACATGAGTTTGAGCCGCAAGGCCAAAGGGGCATTGCAGAGAGGGGGCCAACGACCGACCCTCGCAGGCTTCGTAGAGCATATCCACCACTTGATTGAGTCGGGCCAAGAGCAGGCTCCAGTAACGGGCCCGCAACTATGAGACCAGGATAATAGATGCTCGGGCATGAGGGCCGATGATGGGCAGCATTCGAGGCAGTCGATCCAAGCAAAATCGCAGGAGCAAAACAGCACATCTTACGCGTCGCTCGAGTTGCTCGGGGTCATCCTCATCAAGACTGCCGGTGGAGTGTGCATGCCAGTCAAGAAAATCATCCATGGAGCCCAGGCGACCTACCAGGGTCCCGTCCTGGCTGCCCAGAGAGGCCGGGCGGGCCGTGGACCCAAGACCGGGGCCCCCCGACGGATCACGGGAACGGGCCCAAGCTAGGCGGCGAGGCTCAGCACTAGGCTTGTGCGTGGACCGTGGTTGAGGTGCGCGTTGCACTGCCGCGGTTTTTGACGTGGGTCGACCTAACTCGGACGGCAAGACTGTCTGCTCTGACGGGAGGCCGGAGGGCGGGGCTTGGTTTGTGTTGCCATCGCGACTCTGATGACTGGGTTCGCTGCTGGTTCGAGGGCCGGCGTTGGTGTGATTCTGGGCATTACCATGACGCTGCTTTTTTTTCCGAGTCTGCGGGCGGATGGGGAGTCCCTGGTGGGAGTCGGCCGAATTGCGCGAGGCTTTGTGGTCGTGATTGGAGCGCGTGCGTCGGGTGCGGGGATTTGCGGAACCGCGTTGCTGGCGCTTGGTGCGTCGAGACTGGACGACGGTGAAATCGCCATCCCGGTCGTCCGTGTCACTGGCCAGGCTGACGGAGAAGGCCACCAGGTTTCTCGCCTCGACACCCTCTTGTTGAAGCTTGAGCTTGATGAGCGAGGCCTCAACCGCTACGCAGGAGCGAGCAAGGGGAGGGGAGAATGAATGCGAGATAAGCCGTGCGGGAATAACGTGGCAGGTGATGCATCAGGACCACGAGAGAGTGGCGGGCAAACCTGGTTGTGAAAGGCGGGGCGTTGGGGTATTGGCCCCAGACATGGTGGGCGTGGCCAGCGAGGGAGATTGTCGGCCTGATGGTGTCGCTGTGGTTCGTCCCGATCCGACATTGCTCGGACCACGGCTGTGCCCTTGGTGGCCCCCAGCCTGCGCAATGGCCAGGGGGTCGGCCGTGCTCAAGGCATCGACAATCGAACCCGACCCCGCCCCCTCCAGTGCACCGGTCGGTGGCGCATGGGAATGCCCCCTTCCGCGATGCTGAGGCCGATCTGCCACATGTCGCGAGGCAATGGAGCTATACAGGATCTTTTTGGCATCCCTGCCACGGCTCTCACCCCGTCTTCCTCTCCCAACCCCACCGCCTCCCCCACCCTCTTCCTCACTCCGAGCCATCAAACCCCGCCCCTACGGCTGCCGCCGCCGTCACCACTGCCGTGCGTGCCCCCCTCACTCGTTGACAACGCGCGCTCTGTCTCTGTGTGTATGTGTGTGTGTGTGTTGAAACACAAAATCTCTCTCTCTCTCTCTCTCAAACTCTCTCTCTCTCTCAAACTCTCAAACTCTCTTCAAACTCTCTCAAACTCTCTCTCTCTCAAACTCTCTCTCTCTCTCTCTCTCTCTTCTCTCTCTCTCTCTCTCTCAAACTCTCTCTCTCTCTCTCTCTTCCAAACTCTCTCTCTCAAACTCTCTCTCAAACTCTCTCTCAAACTCTCTCTCTCAAACTCTCTCTCTCAAACTCTCTCTCTCTCAAACTCTCTCTCTCTCAAACTCTCTCTCTCTCTCTCAAGCTCTCTCTCTCTCAAGCTCTCTCTCAAACTCTCTCACAAGCTCTCTCTCTCTCTCTCTCTCTCTTCTCTCTCTCAAACTCTCTCTCTCTCTCAAACTCTCTCTCTCAAACTCTCTCTCAAACTCTCTCAAACTCTCTCTCTCTGTTGTTTGTCAGACAAAATGAGCTATTTGTCAGATATGTCAGATGTTTCCGATTGATGTTTCAGGGCGACAGGGGATGGACGGATAAATCAGGGGGTGGATCAGGGGACGGGTAAGAGGGACGAAGGGGGCGGAGGGGACGGAGGGACGGAGGGGCAAGGGACAAGGGGACAAGGGGACGAGGGACGAGGGACAGAGGGACAGAGGGACAGAGGGGACGAAGGGACAGTGGGGACGAGAAACAAGAGACAAGGGACGAGAGCCAAAAAGCAAAAGGCCAAGGGACAAGGGAGAGGAAGATGTCCTTGCAAGGGGACTGGCAGGCACGGTTGTCTGCGCCGGTTTTGGCACGTCTTTTTCCGGAAGAGACGAGATGCGATGATGGTGAGCCAGCTCATGAAGCTCAGGGCTTGCTCGAGGGCGCGCTGGCCACCGTGACTGTCTGCCTCGGATCCCTCAGCGTCAACGAGGACAAGGACGCCGACGGTGCAACAGGGCTTCATCGTGTTGATCGCACGGCCGATGACGCCCGGGTGTTGGCTGGCTATCTCCACCGGGCTGCGCGCGACCCCCGCGTCGAGCTCGCTGCAGAACTCGACGCTTGCTACTCAGTCCTAAAAACTAACGTCCCAGACCCGGAGCACCCGCTGCAACGAATCGCCACCCAGCTGCTGCAGCGAGCGGTGTTCTCTGACCCAAAAACCGCAGTCGAAACGGTCTTGTTGCCGTTGCTCCCCATCTTTGCCATTCTGCTGGAGTGTCGCTTGAGGACCGCGCTCGCAAGCGCAGACTCGGCCTCGGCCACCACAGCAACCACACCCGCACCTGCAGCAGCCCTCTTGCTTCGTGACATCCTGCTGCACCCACTTTTGGCCACGTGGGCGACTCGTGCTGAACGCCGACTGGCTTGGCTGCTTGTCGGTCCCCCCACGGGCCTCAATCTCCGGAATCTCCTCTGGCATGGATTCATCACCCACTCGACCCCGCTGCCTTGGACATTTTGGCTCATCTTGCCGCTCCTTGTGGCTCGATGGACATCTCGCCTCCCGTCCTTGCCTCCGCTTTTGGCCGAAGCCCATGTACAGGCGCAACTTGACGCCATGCAACTGCGGCCTGGAGGTAGAGCAGAGGGCCAGCTGCAGCGCTGCCTCGCCGCGCTACCCGCTCTGACCAGCCTTTTACCCGCCCTGACCAAGGTCCATCCTTGGGAGCTTACAAGGACGCTGTTGTGTCGTATTGAAGTGGCCTTGCGGGCGCGCTTTGCAAGGGCCAATGATTGTCCCGAGCGTGTGCTCTGTGCGGAAGAGGCGACGCTGTTTACCACGCTGGATGTCGTCTTGGCCCCCAAACACAACGAGCACCCAAACACCCTCTACGCCAACAATGGCAGCAGCTCCCACGCCTTGCCCATGGCGCTATCTCTGTTTCTTTTTGATATGTTCCTCGCTCCCGAGGGCCCACGACTGCGGGATAAGGTGGCGCACGGTCTAGTGGCCACGCTACGCCCAAGTCACTTGTGCGCCCTCGGGTGTGTGCTAGCAACCATAGAGACTTGCTCGACTGCTGTACCGTCTCCAAAGTGGCTCGCCACCTACGTGCCACGGCATCACCCCCTCGGCGTAGCCGTCGCAATGTGGCACGCCCTCGCGGTGGCCGAGCAATCGGGTCTGCACAATCTGGCAATCTTGGGCAGGCACCCAACAGCACCCACGCCGCTGTTTGCTGAGCATCTTCAAAGCCTAAGGATTGCCGCGCGCTTTGCCGCCGTGGAAAAGGGCCACGAATTACATCACCCCGACTGCGCACTGTGTGCGACCTGGTGCACGTTGGACGACAGTGCGGCGCAGTTGGACTTGGTGGCACTGCTGGCAGGGTTGGCTCTTTTTGACTTGAGCCACGACCAGCTCAAGCTCGCCAAGCTCATGCGAGTGTGCTTGACGCAGCTCAAGCAAGCCTTTGTCGAACTGCGGCAGCTCGAGGGCCGATTGCTTGTGCGTTCGCGAGCAACAAGCTCATCGGGGTCCCGAGCCCAACGACTTTTGCCCCTGGTTCGGAGCGTGCTCTTACCCTGGCTCACCCTGCAAGTCATAGAGCTGGGTGCCCTGCTCTTACCCGCTTGCTCTGGGGCCTGCACCACGCCCATCGCCGGTCGGCTCTTTCCCGTGGCCGTTGATGCCGCCTGCACCCGAGCCGCACTCCGTTGGCTCAAGCGTCGGCTTCAGACGCTGCAACGCATCAACGCCGATGCCCCACACAACAAAGTGACTGTTCTGCTCACCCTTTTCTGTGCCGACGTTCAGCCAATACCTACGCCCACCGTGTCTGCGACGCCTTGTTAACCCGTGTGCCGTGATATGCCTACCTTTCCATTGTATTTTTCTCTCATTTCTCTGATTTTTTTATTTTTTTTTTCCCAATTTATGTCAATTTTTACTGATTTTTCGGGCTCCTCATCGCCTACCAGTCTCAAACTCGTACCGCATGGCCGCTCAGAGCTCTTATCCGCTGATCCGGAGCCTGCGGGATTGATACATTGACTGCCCAACGGCTTTTGTGGTGGCAGACAATGGCTTTGAAACGTGAATACACCCACTCCCGACGGCAACAGGGACGTCAATCTGCACAGCATCACCCAAAGCTCTTTCTTCACCTGCGAATCTCCTCCCAGCCTTGGATTAGCATGTCGAGGGGCGCGTCTCGGCTTTGCGACGGCGGCGATGAACCCGGATTAAGCGAGTTGCGTGGTCTCAAGCAACGCTGTCATTCCATCCAAAACAAAGTTCGATTTGGGGCGGAGAAGGACGGCCAGCAAACACGACGACCGAGCCCCAAGACACCCGTGTCGGATCGGCTAGAAGGATGGTCGGGTGGGTCAGGACGGAACACACAAGACGGGCACAGATGGGCCCTAACACAACACACAACGCAACGGCACATCGCCCAAGACAAGGGGATGGCAAGGAATCGACTCAACTCTTCTGTTTATCAGGGCCGAGGATGACAACCAAACAGACATAACAACTGAAGATTGCACGGGTGGGTGGCAGTTGAAAAACCATCAACGACGAAGCACAAAAAAAAAAAAAAAGGAAAAGGAAGGGGGGCAATCGGTCAGCAGACAGACGAACTATGGCTCGCGGAAGCAAGGGAAAGGTGTTTGGCTGTCCGATGACTCAAGCCTTGGGGTTTGCCACCTTGTGGCCAAAGCGATCCCAGCACTCGGTCATGGCGTGCGCGATGGCATCAAGCTCCTCGTCGGTGAGGGTGAGGAAGGTGGGGAGAGTGCACATGTTGTCAAGGTGGTAGGCGACCTTGTCCTCGGCGGGAAGGAAGGTCTGGTTGTTGATGGTCATGATACCACGGTTGGCGAGGAGCTGGCGGGACTCGTCAAGGTCGGGAAGCTTGACGAAGAAGTAGCAGCACGAGTTGTCCGACCCGCAGACACGGACGTTGTCGAGGTGGCGCTTGGGGATCTGGTCGAGGAACTTGCTGTACTGAACGTTGCAACGCTCTTGCATGACCTCCCATCGGGAGAGGTCGCCCATAATGTCGATGGAGCGGATGAGGGCGGGAGAGGGGCGAATAAAGTAGCCACCGTGCATGAATCCGGGATTTTGCTTGCGGTAGTTGTCGACGGCGGCGGTACGGCCGTAGCCAAAGAGGCGGAGGAGACGCTCGACCAGGAAGCAGCCGAAGCGAGAGTTGTAGATGAGCAGGGTGGGGAGCTTTTTGAGGATGAAGGAGAAGCGTTCCCAGGCGGATTCAAAGGGGAGCTTCTCAATTTCGCGGACCAAAAAGTCGTACAGGCGGGGGTTGTTGTGAACGACGCCGTAGCCACCACCGAGGGCGTTGGGAATCTTGTCTTGGCCAAGGGAGTAGAGGGAGATGTCGGCAAAGGTTTCGTCCTCCTTGCTAATGAGGTCGCCCTGGACGCGATCCTCAATGATGAGGAGGTCCTTGTTCTCGGCGCGCCAGGCCTTGAGCCAGGCGGCGTCGTAGTCGCGGCCGAGCATCTGGGTGACGACCACGGCGGCAAAGTCCTTGGCCTGGTAGCCCTTGGGAGGAAGCAGCTTTTGGCCGTCCATGTCCATGACAACGAGCTTGTTGCCGGTGGAGCGCATCATGCGAATAAAGCTGTGGTGGTGGAAGGGGGAGATGAGGACGACATCATCGGGCTTGAGCCAGTTTTTCCAGATGAGGGCAAAGATGCAGCGACAGGACTGGCTGAGGACAACGTTGCGGGGGCGTTTGACGCTCCAGTTTCGGGGATCGCTGCCACCCAGGCCGACGAGGTGCAAAAAGGCAATCAACAAGTGCCACAAAAACGTCAAGGCTCCGCAAGTCACGTAAGCCGGCACGACCGGAATCAGCGGTTCCTCGGGCGTGGTGGTGGACCGCTCCATCCTCTGCGGTGCTTCAAGCCTTCAGATCCAGCTCGCGTCGACGGGTCTTGCAGAGAGAGACAGAGAGAGAGAGAGAGAGAGAGAGCAGAGAGAGAGAGAGAGAGAGAAGGGAGGCGTCTGCGAGCAGAAAGAACGAGGTGAGCGATGGTTTAAAAGTAAAAGGGATCCAGGGTTCAGGCCCATGTAATGCGCATTCCCCTCTGAACTGCCAACGTCGTCTCATTCCCGCAAAGGCCATCAGTCCCATCCCCGGCTGCCCTTTTCTTCCCCATGCGCACGCGCACGAGAGAGAGAGAGAGAGAGAGAGAGAGAGAGAGAGAGAGAGAGAGAGAGAGAGAGAGAGAGAGAGAGAGAGA